CAGATAAAGTATATATATGTATGTATACATATGTACCCAGACAGAAAATTTATTTAGGTGTTTACCTTTTGAGCATGCCTAAATAGGGCCTTCAGAGGTAATGTAACGCAGCGTGCTGGACGTCCTATTTAGGTATCCCGAACAACCGCATAACTTACTAAATCTAAAGCATCTCGTTAACATATATATAATACACACAGTTTATGAGGGAGAAAGAAAGAAAAACAGGTGACATAATGATACAGTAATTTTTATGTATCATGGATATTTAACGTTAATTAAAACTGATAGTATACGCCAAACATTTATATTTTGTTTATTTTTGCATTATAATATTATATCAAAATAAATAAGACTTTAAAAACATGAAAAATGAGTTAGAAGCCTTCGTTAAGATTTTCATTAGACTTATTTACATTTTCTATATTAAATATGGCAGCTCTTGCCTTGAAATATGGAATACAACTTAGTTTTCCTAAAAATTGATTTTCTTTGCTTCATCCTCTGAGGAGTATAATCCTGGATAACTTCTTTCGTCAAAAGTTTTTCATAATATTCGTCATATTATTAAGCGAGTGAATATTGACATTATTAGTATTATTAAAATAGTATTTTATTAAATAATATCTGTGTATAAGATACATTGATGAAAAATCATACCAATATACTTACTACATCTTGTTTTACTATGCTATTACCATCATTAATTTCAGCTAAAAAAGAAATGAAGTTTTCTTTGGTACATAATGGAAACTCATACTGCTTGTGCTAACAACTGAACTCATGAAATGTTAAAATATTATTTAATTGATTGGTCGATTGGCTTTTGATCAAAAGAACTCTGACTTCTTCCAAATTGTTTTGGATGTCGTAAAATTCTGCCTTCACTATCTTATGAATATATTTTTTTAATTCTGTTACGCATTCTAAAAACTTGAGGAATAAAATATGAATATTAGAGACAATAATGTACTTAAAGTATGAAATGTATGAAGATAAGTCATGGCTTGTGCTCTGTATAAAAAGAGCCAAGCAGCTCTATATCACGATAGAGGGTTCTTATAATGTGGTGAGCACTACAGTACCTAATTAATTAGTACTGTAGACTTTTATCGTCCCCACCTCGTGTTCGTGTAGTGGGGTTAAATATTAGTTTATAATGATGGATTCTTTCACCAAACTGGTAAGATTATACTCATATAGAAAAATCACCACAGCCGTAACTTTGAAAAACGTGTTAAATAATTTTACAACGGAATATAGGAATCCTAAGAAAATTTTGGTCGATTATGAATCTCAGTTCACGTCTCTAAAGTTGAAAAACAAATCAAAAACAAGTCAGGTTTGAGTACCATATTGATCTACCCCAGACACCCAGCAACCCTATCAAGAGAGTTATAAAATAACTCGGTTGAATTTTCAGAACGATGTGTCATCAAAAACACACGAAATGGGCTAAGTGTGTTCCAATAATAGAGAATTTTCTGAATATCGTGACTCATTGTATTACAGGCATTGTGCCATACAAGATACATTTTGTTCGAGCAGTGTATATTGAAATAAAAAAACTTTATGAGAAAAAAATTGAAAAAAATCTGTGACTTATACATTTATCTAATGCCCTGTTTTTTTTAAATCGTTTTAAAAGTCCGTACGTGATTAATAAAGAAATTAGAGAGAAGGCTATGGATTTCGTTGATCACCTAAGAAATTAGAATTTAGAAAATTATGATAAAGCACATTTCTTAATTCTTGTTAGAAAACGTTAAATGCAGGACAAATAATCAAAACTTTATCTTAATGATTTTCTCACCACTAAAATAGTCTAGAAATTTGTAACTTAACAAAAAAAATTTTAATATGAGTATACTAAGGCACTAATAGCTACTTTTAAATAGAAAAAAGTCGACTTGTATTTCTTAAGTCTGGAGTGACTGTTTGACACCAATTTAACATCATAATGTTACGTGAGATTCGCTTTAAGCAGCAATTTAAAACAACTCCACCGACGGGGGCGAAGTTGTTGATACTAACTAAAAATAATACACAGAATGTTATGGTATATAGTATGTAATTATCCAAAATAACAAAAAACCACTTATCTGATTTTTAACAGCCAACAGTGAGTTTTTCTAGTGATGTCTCAGTCTGCAGTGGCTTCCTTTTTAAAAGAAAACCAACACCTAACAAGTTCAGTGGGTAAAGTCACTGTCTATTTTAAAAAGGATTGGTACTTCAAGTCGGATGATTTATTGAAAAAGATCCTTCCATTACACTTGATAACAGCTATGATGTACTTGAGACAATTGCTGCGCCCTGTTAATAGTACCTAGTAGGATGCATGACTGACTCATCTGAGGGTAACTTTTCAATACATAAAAATTCTGCGTGGCATCTTAATACTGTACTATTCTGTACATTTTTTATTAGTTAAAGTTAGAACATCTTTTACATCAATAACTATTTTTTTATGATAAATGTCTTATGGGCAGTATTATTTATGAAAAAAAAACACAATAAAAAATTTTTAAGCTACTTCATACAAATCTTTGTTAACGATAAGTACAAGAATATCGCGCAAAAACCAGCTTACGTAAAAAAATGTTGTGAAAACTGTGCCTTATAATTAGTTGAGCCCGAAAGTCTAGATATTACTATTTCAATTTGTAGAAAAATAGATAGTTTCTTATTTATTCACAAATATTTAAATTTTCAAAAAAGTTCATAAATTTTCGACAACTTTTCGGGTTACATAATAATTCAAATTAATTAAAACTTTTTTTTTATAATGTACATTTTAAAAGCAGTATTTTACGAAAATAATCATTCACCCATTTGCTTTTAATTTCAAGAGGTCTTATTTTGAAGTGAAAATTCAAAAAAAACTCTCTTAATACTTGTTTTGAGTTAATTTTGCGTAACATAGAGACGTAAAATTCGTGCTAAACACTTACTTAAGCCTTGAAACATAAAAATGAACTTTATTGCTTGTTAAAAAAGTAATTAGTGCTTTTATATACTAATCCTTAGTTCTTTTTCCTAATTCACCAACTTCTTGAACATTTTTAAGGCGAAAAAATTGATTGGATTTATTTTAACTATATTTAACTTATGATAAAATTATTTTTCTAAATGTAAGCACCACAACAAAATGCCAATACTCACTCTGTCCTTCCCCAGAAAATTCATAAGGCTTAAGTCAAACCTTTCTTTTAAGTATTTAAATATCTGGTATACTGAGTCACACTGTATCAAGTGAGCAGGAGTTTAAAAATTGTTAACTCTAACTTAGAAAAACATATAATTCCATTACTAAGAAATAGATTAAATGTTTTTGTATCTTGGATGATAAATTACAGTTAACCCTACAATTGTCTAGAATAACAGTATTTGTATTTTGTACTTCATAAGTTTAAATGCATTTGGTCTTACAAAAATATTTAAAAAATAAACACAGAAGTATTACAGAAGGAATGGAGCAAAACAAATAGGAAATGGGAGAACCTTTCACAAATTTATTTCAATTTTTATTACCAAAATTAAAATTAAAATTATATGAAAAACATGCGTAAAGTGCGTGTTAGTTTAAACTAATTACACAGAAATATGTATCTCAGCATAAAATTACGTTTACTGAATATTCGTAGGTACTAAAACATAAACAGACATCTGTTTAACTCCATCAGATAAAGTTACTATAGTCACCTAGTCAACTCTGTAATTTTAGCACAATAACTCATTTGCTATTACAGCACAGTCAAGGATAGTTTGCAAATAATGAAAGTTCAAGATGAGCCTACACAACTGATTTTATGTGCAAGATAACTAATTTTTCTAAATACCACATACCGTACCTCGAAACTTATTATACTTTGTAATCTTTTAAAACTATCTTTCAAGTTCCTAATACTACACATATTTCAGAGAATAAGTGTAAGGATTATAGACGAACAAAAGAATAAGGCTTTAGTAGTCACTTTTTAAAAATTCTGTAGTATGAGTCATTTTGCTATAAGAGTTAGGTGTTAATTGGAATTAAAGATGAAGGAATTACTGGTTATGGAATAAAAAGTTTAAAGGTGTACGGACAGTCGTTGCGAGGTAGGAAAAAAAATGTTGCAGTACCTTGAACTTAAGGATTTCAGAAACACTTAGCCATAATTAATTTTACTATTAGATTTGAGCAGTTTCTCTAAGTAGGTGGTTAAGACTGTACAGTTATGGAAAAGAGAGGATGAGATATCGTTTCAGATTTTTACAGTTAATCGAATTAGAGCTATGTTAGTCAATTGCCTAAGCGTTTTTCAATGTGAAAAAGGTTAAACGTATAAAAAGAAGTATAGAATAGCATGTGGCGTGCAGTCGCTAACACACTAGTTATTTAACAGCACTGAGCTAAAATTTCTTTGTGTTGTTTTTAAATTAAATAACTTAACTTGAAAAATTTTGTAAATAATAAGCATCCAGACTAAAACATATCCTTGTCTGATAAAGCTTTGCATACGATGTGAACCATAGGATAACTTACTCAATATTATGAATAAATTGCAAACGTTTTTTCTTTTCGTATTCTAAATTAAAAAAAAAAGAGCAATAATTTAGTATTAAAATGCCAAAAAATTATTTATACGATATTTAAAGAGGAAAATCAAAACATGCCGCACAAATCTATTTGAATGAGAGTTTAACATACTTTATCGTACTTCAATACTTTTCTTACCTTGAACAAAATAGTAATCCACAATTTCTGCAGTGATGTTTTCTTTCTGAAAAACTAAATTTAACACCACATCCTTCACAAGAATCTGTTACATCATCTTTTTGCCAATGATCTGCTATTCGACCAGGGTATTCGCATACACTCCAAGAAAATACTCGACCTCTTGCATCTCCAATATAAATAGTTCTATGATCCCTATAGATAATAAGAATTTAAAGTAAATCTTCAAACTTTAGTACTATGTACAAATAAATCATTTTGTGTAGCAATAGAGAAAATTGTTTTTTTTTCATTCCTCATCAAAAATGTTATTGCACCTAGACCAGTGTACCCTCAAACATATCAACATAAATGACCTAATTACTATTTAGGAACTAACTACTGCGCACTCGTCAATAATACAAAATAAGAAAAATAGACTGGAAAATTCATAAGCTCAGAGATTGTAACACGTTTGGATATTTATAACGTTAATTGCAGAGTTATATCCTACGTCATGAAATACATGATCACTAAACTAAATGATTTTCAACAAATATAACTTACAAAACTTCATAGCCGTTTGCAGTTATCAGAGCGCAATAAGTGGATCTGAGCTTCAACATAAGAACCTTGTGGGAGATACCCTCACAGTAATTTGGTTCACAGTAACTGGTGTTGATTTTGAAACCGTCCGCAGTAATACAAGTAAGTAACGTCAATAGCAATAATTTAAAAAAAGTAACATTACAGAAAAACATTTTTTATTATAACTGCACACAATGCTGCAGTCAATGACAAAATAAAACTACTTTAATTTACATTGAAAACCATAGAAGAATAAATAATTTAGCTTAGTCAAAAATTTTAATGTGCACTAGATGTCTCATTTACTAATAATAATAGTAATTACACTTTAAACAAAGTTTTGTATAATTTTGCATTTGTAATGTAAATATTCGTAAATAATTTTAATTTTATCGATGTTTTTTATTAAAGTAGACTGTACGTAGTTTTATACATCTTAAAGCAAGATTGCTTTTTTGCCAGAAAAGCGCATCACCGATGTTGCTATCAAAGTCTCAATGAGAAAGAGGTCTAAGTGCAAGACTTGGTTAATTAAGGTATTTTTTTTCAGTTATTGCGTGTAACAAGTTTTCAACGCATTATTTGTGTTAGCTAAAAAAAAAAGTTGCCTGTACATACTAGAATTTGATAAAAAAAATATCCGTAGAGTGAAAATTATTAATGTATGTATAATTTATCAACACTAAGAGAAAAAATAGTAAAAATTACTGTGCTAGAATAGTAATCTGGTACTGTTCAGTTGTCTGGAGACTTTTTACTACATGAAAAATAATTTTTAATGTTTCGAACAGTAATTTTTGTTGTAAGTGCAGTGGCTTCTATTTCTTGTCCAATAGAAAGTTTGTACAATACGAAAAAAAGTATGATTTTGCATTAAATCATGCGAAGTTACAAGTAGAAGTTAGAATTAAAAGTTTTAGATACATAAAAGTACGCCTACAGTATTTAATTCCTTTAATTTTCGAAAATTCTACAGTCTTTCCTTTTCTTCAGAACTATCACGTATTCATGTATTATAATATTTCTGATATTAGTACTGTCAAAAATACGTATTTTCATTGTAAATTTTTTACAATAATTAACACTGTTCTTAATCGATATTAATAAAATCGTAGTAAAAAACCATAAAGCAGAATATCTACAAAGTCATAAGTTATTTGCTCCATAACTAAAGTCTTTTCTTGTAATACTTTATTATTTCTCCTTTTAAAGTAATTTTTTTTTTTAGTGTAACAAAAAGAACGTGTACTAGGATATAAGTAAAAATAACTGTGCAAAGTTTAAGATTATTTTTGTTAATTTATAATTTATTTTCAATTCTCAATAAAACGTGAAGATCCTAAAAGTCGATACTACGTGATTAAGTTTGAAGGTTCTAATGAGATATCACTTGTGTTACGAAAATAATTTTTTATCTGAAGGAGAAGTTACTGTCTAATTGTCACAAAACAAAGCCCAAAGTAAGTAAGTTACTGTTATGGATTATTTACAGGGGTTGCTAATAAATTGTTAATCCATGTTTTTGTTGCAAATACTTAAAAAATATGCAACAAAAATACATTTTTAAATCGTACAGCAATAAATTGAAATAAAGTCCGTATGATATCTATATACTTCTTCTTCAACAAGTATATTTATACCGTACATGATATGATCATTATAACACTATTTTTTCGGTTCCAGCTTCTTAGAACTGTTAATAAGTTTTCTTTGAAGTTGACAATATTAAATTTTTTATGAGTATTCATGGTAAATCTTGATCCAAAATAGCATGACCCAAAAAATGTTTCTCGAGTACAGTTGTACAGTTGCCTCTGACTTATTGTCAAATATTGGGAGGTGAGGTGAGGCTCGAAAAAATGACGTCAAAAAAAATCTTAAAATATAGGTATAAATAAGGCTATAGTTAGTAAAAATTTATTGTGGGATCGTCAGAAAAATCTGCTGTAAGGCATGCCTAAGTAGCACTGCAACCTGGCGCGAAAAAGCGCAAAGCGATCGGACTAGAGATCGCAGTATCGGCGGAGCTAGCCACAGGATTGAGGGAATGCATGAAAAGCGGATTCTCGAGGATCACTAGTAAGAACAGTCGCGTTTACGGGCCATTCTTTTAGCCTTTTAGGTTAATTTTTTGAGAAAGGTGATTGAGTTCGAGACGGAGTCAGTAGATTAATTCTTACTCTCTTGCCACTGAAACGATAAACCCTAAAGGATGGTCTCACAGGCGTACTCTGTTCTGTACCTTATCTCAGTTTTCCTTTTTTGTCCCTTTGATTTTTTGTAATTGTGAAACCATGCCAGTCAGTAGGATATCCTGTTGTTTTGCATCGTGCTCCGTTCGATAGAACTAAATTTGAATTTTTGTATTGTTACTACGGGGCCACGGTCATTCATTTATTTTCTTTTCAGGAGCAAGTACAAATTAATCGGTGATCCTGTTCTACATGAGATGATCAAACAGTGTAGAAAACAGCAGCATAATATGTAAGAATATTAGAATTTACTCTTATTTATCGATAGGTAAGTATTAATGGGAATAATTGAATTTATCGACATTTCCCATCCAACACGATATTGCCAAGGCAACTCGACTTTTTCAGTTAAAACTACCGTTTGTAAAAAATCATCATACTCAGCAATTGGAAAAAAGTTCCACCTTGACCAGGACTTAAACCTGGAACTCTTTTCTTACTGGGAAAGTGCGTCACCAATTTCGCCATCCAGGTCTCGGTGACTCCTCTTCTCAATGGCTAACGCACTTTCCCAGTCAGAAAAGAGTTCCAGGTTCAGGTCCTGGTCAAGGTGGCACTTTTTTTCAATTGCTGCATATTAAAATTTTCCACAAACGGTAGTTTTAACTGAAAAAGTCAAGTTGCCTTGGCAATATCGTATTGGATGGGAAATGTCGATGAATTCAATTACTCGCACCAATATAATATGTTTGAAGATCGTTAGAATTTTTATATCACTTCAGTTGCGATATTACTGATATGGATTTTGTTCATCAGATGCACAAATTTGTTATCCTGCGGTCAGAGCTGGACTGATTTTGATTTCAACACATGAGTTAACGCTTCGTAAAATTAATTAGTTGCAAAAGTGACACAAAAACCTGAATTATGTTATTAATTTTAAGTATAGATAACTTTATCAATTGTGTAAGGCCCTATATCAAGGGAGACAAAGATAATTGCTGCAGAGTACCGTTTTCTGCGCTGAGAAATTCTTAACTATTTTGAATTCGTTAGAAAGAAGAGTACTTAAATAACCTAATTTCAGTTATTGTAACACGTGATTTAACTTTTAGCCAAAAAAGTCATGACATTCGGTTAAAGCTTCCAAGTTCTTCATAATATCTACGACATAAGTTCGAATTTTGAATCCAATTTTTGTGGTTGGTGACATGTTCTGAAATTTCAACTATGAATTTGTTGAGTCTTATTTTACCATGGATTTTAACCTGGGTACAATGGCTCAACTATTAAAACAGTAATAAGCCTCCGTAAATGCTCTTTCTTACCTGAAGACTGATAAATTAAAAATAGGATTAATAAAGTATCCTAACCTCATCAGCCCTCCAGGCCACTGAAACTTCATGTAACAGTTTTTTTATAAGTGAAGGATAGGCTGTTGTCTTAAAAAAAAATTTTTTTTTTGTCCACGCGTTATTTTTTTTTTTAGGAATACTATTAAATAGCAGATGTAGTTTAGTGCTGCGAAAAAGAGTTATTAGATACTGTGAAGTAAAAAAAAGAATAAGCATTAAAGCAAGATTACTGACTCAACTAGTACCGAACAAGTAGACACTATATGGGTCCAAACATACTTTATAAATCAAGCTACATCGAGCAGAAGACAGATTCACAACCTTTTTACAGTATAAAAGATTTCACAGAAGTCAAGAAGCAAATAAGTTCAATACATACACATCTGTATTTAATTTCAGTGACAAATTTTTATCATTTTTCTTTAAAAATTCCACAACAAGGAAGGCCCAAGAATACTAGCTGCAGAGCTGAAGTGAATGACAAAGCTCCATATTCAGTTAGTTATAAAGTTCTTAGTGACCAGTCTAGCGGTATTTTTTTTAAATTATATTCTTATACTATGCAAGCCTTTATTCATCTCAGGCCAAAAAGCCCAAGTAAAAATAAGATAAAATAAAAAGAGGTGAAGCAATTCGTTAGCAGATAAGAAACTCCAGATAATTAAATTGTATCAGGCTTCAACTGTTTGAATGCGAAGCACTTTTTATAATGGTATAGAGTCAACGCGGATGATAGAAAAAAAAAACATTATTTTAAACGTTTTTGAAAATTTACTTTTTACATTCATAAACATTTATCCCGCTTACTTTGACGTCTCATGAAAAAAAAAAGTATGATTTCAACTGTTTTTAAACATTGCTCTTATATTTTTAAGCATTTACTGCACGAATTTTTTCCATCTCACTTTATAAGCTTAAATATTTATTTAACTGGCTCAGGGTAAGTATCGATTGATTCTAGAAGTATATCAGACTGGCTTGAAGGTCATAAGAGTGAGAAAATTTTTAGATGCGGTCACGTAATAAACCTCTCTCACTCTTACGAGCTTCAATGCCAGTCTGGTAGACTTCCAGACTCCAT